CTCACTGTTCACATACACTGGATCACCCTGGATATCCCACACGCATCACTCTAACACTCGARCACACACACACACTCACTACTAACTACAGCTATGGCAGCTGTCGCTGCATCTACCCTATCGCTATGCTAACTCCCTCTCTCTAGCCCACTGCGTCCTCCGGGCTCATCTGCAGACCTCCTTGCACAAGTCGTTGTGGCAGCACTTCCGCATGGCTTACGCAGGAATGAATGAATGGCTGGGCGCTGCCTCTTGATTTATATTTCAGAAATTCGTTAGTCTGCCCTTTGCCATCGACCCTTGGTGCTTACAGTCCCCCTATGGTACTTGCTGGACCGGACTGGGACTGACCGGACCTTCCGTTGACTGACTGTGGACTCACCACTATCCTACCGCCGTTGCATTGCTGTTGCACTGCGGTTTAGTCCACCACTTGACCACTTGCCCACTTGCCTACCTTCTAGAAGGTCTACAGCTAAGCTTCCAGAACTCACTAAGACTCCTACGCTATAGACCTACAGATCGAACCCCAGCTGTCTATGGACCTACGACAGGTCTACCAACTGCCTACGAATACACAGGTCGCAGGTTCAATTCTCGAGGTCTACACAGATACTGTACATGGGTAGGGTGAGGTCTAGGGATCGAACCCTGGGTACAGCATCCGCTACTGCTAAAAGGTGAAAACCGTTTCATATATATATATGTATATATATATATATGACGATATATATATATATATATATAAATACAGGGTTACCTGACCGAACGTTCGGGGGCCGAACACCTCCAGGTTCGGCCCCCGCCAATATCTGTTTCGGGGTAAAAAAATACGTTTTTTTTTTCTGAATGTTTTTTTGTGAGTTCTTTATGATGTAAACTACATGCCTATAGATTTCGAAGCGATTTTGCTGATAAACAAAAAACATTAAAAATCGTCAAAGATGGGGGTGTCAAAACGTGCTCGCCCACTCACTATTTTGTTTTATTTCACTTTTAACTTTTTTTTTTCATTTTATTTCGGGGCCTAAACAATTTTATTATTTTTTTTTTTTAAATTAATGAGTTATTGATTATGTAAACTACATGTCTGTGAACTTTCAGGGCATTTGTCTATGCCAAAAAATGATTAAAAATCGGCAAAGATGGCGGTGTCCAAAAGGTGTTGGCACACTCACTCTTTTTAATTCTCTTTTTATTTTTTCTTATTTTTATCATAGTGTTTATTTTCTGTATTGATTTTTAATTCAAATTTGGTGAAGAATTTGGATGTAGTGCTCAGGCAAATGTTGTTAAGCTTATTTTTCTCCATAACATATTTGTTTTTCGGAAGTTTTTGAAAACTTTGTTTTGTTTTGTTTTTTTTTGTCCGCGTTCGGCCCGAACGGCCGAACGCCTTCCGAAGGGGTCCCGTACGTTCGGGCGTTCGGGTTCGGGCGTTCGGCCCGTCCCGAACTCCGGCAACTGTGTATATATATATATATATATACATAAATATATATATATCCTCTTCTCCCTCTCTGCCTACGGTTTCCTAGGCAGTTCTATTTGACGATATATATATATATATATATATGTAATTTGTTCTTGGGTTTTGATTTGTAACTCATAATTGGATACAAATTTGAACATGAGTCGAGGCCAAAAGTTACTTCTATTGTTATTTTACATAATATATATTTTTTCCCTGATTTTTCCTAGGAAATTTGGTTTGTTTTTTGTTTTTTTTTATATTCGCGTTCAAAGGGTTTAGGCACTTATTCGTGTTCACCTTCAAACGCGAACACGATGCAACGTAGCCCCTAACAAAGATAAGCATATATATATATACAGGGTTACCTGACTGAACGTTCGGGGGCCCCCGGGCTGGTCCCCGAACGTTCGGGCGTTCCGGGTCCCGTTCGGGGGTCGAACACCTCGAGGTTTGGCCCCCGCCAAAAATATTTTCGGGGCCTAAAAATAAGTGTTTGTTTTTGAATGTTTTTTTGTGAGTTCTCTATAATGTAACCTACAAGCCTATAAATTTTGAAGCCATTCTGCTAAGTTTGAAAAATATTAAAAATCGTCGAATATGGGGGTGTCAAAACGTGCTCGCCCACTCGCTATTTTGTTTTTTTTCACTTTCAACTTTTTGTTTTCACTTTATTTCGGGCCTAGAAAAAATATTATTTTTTGAAAACTTTTTAATGAGTTATTGATTATATAAGCCACATATCCGTAAATTTTTAGGGCATTTTTCAATGTCAAAAAATAATAAAACATCGGCAAAGATGGCGGTATCGAAAAGGTGCTGGCACACTCACTCATTTTAATTCTCTTTTTAATTTTTCTTATTTTTATCATAGTGTTTATTTTCTGTATTTGATTTTTAATTCCAATTTGGTAAAGAATTTGAATGTATTGCCCGGACAATTATTGTTTAGTTTTTTGTTCTCCATAACATTTTTTGTTTTCAGAATTTTTGGAATTATTTTTTATTTTTATTTTTTTTGTTTTTTATTTTTTTGTCCGCGTTCGGCCCGAACAGCCGAACGCCTTCCGAAGGGGTCTCGTACATAACCAATAACTCATTAAAAAGTTTTCAAAAAATAATAAAATTGTTTAGACCCCGAAATAAACTAAAAACAAAAAGTGAAAAGTGGAAAAAAACAAAATAGTGAGTGGGCGAGCACGTTTTGACACCCCCATCTTTAACGATTTTTTATGTTTGTTTTGCTTATCTGAATGGCTTCAAAATTTATAGGCGTGTAGGTTACATCATAGAGAACTTACAAAAAACAATTCAGAAATAAAAACTTATTTTCAGGCCCTAAAATATTTTTTGGCGGGGGCCGAACCTGGAGGTGTTCGGCCCCGGGACCCCGAACGCCCGAACGTTCGGGGGCCAGCCTGGGGGCCCCCGAACGTTCGGTCAGGTAACCCTGTATATAAATATATATATATA